AGTGATCAAATAGCATAGAAAAATAGAGCGAAAGACGCTCTATCTATTCATAAAAAAAGAAAATTTTTTCAAGCTTTCTATAAGAAAAAATAGTACCTCGCTCACTACTTTTGGATAGCCCTAAGTACTTAATAGAATATTCTCTAATGTGTAGATATCTTTCTGATTTCTTTTCTATTACTTGAAGATGATTGCTTGATCAGCTAAAAAATACCTCTTTTGTTAACCGTGTTATGACGGGAAACAGGAAATGCACCGTCGTACATTTTGGCTGCGAACTTTCGACAATCGCCTAAATTGTGTGAGTGAGGGTGTTGAGTGTGAGTCGCCAGCAATTTTTCAAGTAAGCACACCTTTCGGCAATTGCCGAAAGCCCGCTGCCAAAATGTGCAACGGCGAAATTCATAGTGTTCGTTATGACTGGATTAAAATCGAGAATTTGATTCGGGTATTTCTATGGGCGATATACCGTCATTACACGAAGGTGTGGCGCACATGTGGAGACATACCGCATTCGACAGATAATTCAGTTCTGAACTAGAATATCATATTTAAAAATTTTTAAACGTTGACGTGGGGTCTAAAAGTCGGTCGAAGGACGGAGTTTTTACGCATTTCATCGTGTTTTTGAAAGCAGAATTTTTCAAAAAGTATTAAAGCTGCTGAGACGAAACTTTCAAAATATAAACTAGAGACCACGAGGAACAAAAAACTGTCTCGGACCAAAATTCCAGAATCTTAGATATTGTATCACGCTCATCGTAAAATTGTATAAAAATGCAAAAACAAGATCATTTTGAAATGAAGGTTTCTCTGTGAAGGTAAAGCTAAAACTCAAAACAAATTACTGGATTGAATTCCTCATCATCTGATTCACAAGAAAATGTAGGTCTCATTCTTCTTGGTGACTTACAGAAGCCTGCTCAGAGCTATCTTTGAAACCGACAACACAAATTTTTCCATTTTTGCCAGTTTTGTGTCGCATTTTTTATTGAAACGGGCTATTACAGACCGTCGCGGTTGCTATTTTAGGCTTCTACGCACGTGAAGGCATATGAATCAGTAAAACTTCCAATCTACAATTTCTCCTTCCTAAGTTATAGCCATTTTAAGTTGAGTGCATATGACACCGGTTCGGGCAGATTATAACGATAGAAGTCCCTAGGAATTCAACTAATTAGTGTCAAACTCACAGTCAGTAAAAATCTCCATTACGCCTCGTTGAGTCACAGTCAGTGGCAAGGCTCCTAACAAATGCTAGTTTTTAGAAAAATCGATATTTCAAGAAAAAACAAAATTTTGTTAATCGAACTTCATTCATAGTTCGTAATAATGCCAGCATATAGGCAGTTCGACCTCGTCGATCGATCGTAGCCAGTCTTATCATTAGAACAGGTTTCTTTAATGGACAATGAACTTTTTATAAAACCTCTTAAATTTCCTTAAACTTTTAAAAGTTAAAAGAAAATGAAAAGAACGTGTCTGGGAGGTTCAAATGTATCACGATATATATGTAAGTCAACATGGGGAACAAAGTGATGTAAAAAACCAGAGGAGATCCTCCGTTTTAAAAAGTCGAAAAGTGCTGTTTTATGGGAGGGTGTTCGGAGATAATACGGACCGTAATACTGTGTACGCTCTTATGGCCGTAATGATGCCGTTTTTTTATCGTTCACTGTCGTATTATGGGTCGCAATGCGACACTGTTTTGACTGCCGTGCCTAATGACAGTTAGAATAAATACATGATCATTGCTAACCGAGGGCTTAGAAGAAAGCTCGTCAATCTTTTCCTTACTATTCCTTTCTCGTCTTTTCTGTTCAGCAAAGGTAACAGACATTTTGTTACTATAAGCATTGCAAGAGGGAGAAACAAAAGAAGCATAATTAATCATTGCACTGTCAAAAAATTTTAAAAGAATGATTGTTGAACTCATACAATTAATTTATTCCTGTTAAACATATTCTGTAGCGGCCAACTATGTCACAAAATAAATATTTATACCTCTTGCTTGCCTACATCAAACAAGATGACGTATCATTCGATTTACCAATGAGAAATTATAAGTTCGCGCGATCGCCATTTATTATTCAGAATGAGTAGAACAGAAAAAAACAAAAACTACAATGTCATGATGAAAATGCATTTATGTATTGCATCAAGACAGAGAATCTCTATATATGAAAGCAATTTCTTCTCGTATTTTATTAAGCCTCAATAAAATAGAAAAGGCTATTCTTTCCTACTTTATTCATTGTTTAAATTAAGATTAAACTACTGTACAAGCGACAATAAGAATCAATAAAGAATAAAAGAATAATAAACATTTTTTTTCTTTATCTTGTACATATGTACATTCAGTGAACAGGCATGAGCAGCGTTTCGGCTACTCAGCTTATATTCATTTAAAGTATGTATTAGACGAAGATACGTTTAAATTTCAGATATTTATATTGCCGAACAAAATGTCATATTCTAATCCATTCTTGCAGTATGTTATATCGCATAGTGTTAAAAATGACATCTCAGGTGTAATAAATGCTATCGACCAGTATGCGAAAACAAATACTATGATACATATCGGGGAAGTAAAAGGAGAAATATTAGATAACCAAGTGAAAAGCCGATGTCCGAAAACCGTTTTAGAATTAGGTATTGAGTAGATCTATTATTACAGACCTATAAATGGACTAAATGGAATTTGAGTTTAGGTACATTATATGGTTACAGTGCATTACGTATCGCATCATATTTACCAAAAGATGCATTATTTATCACTGTCGACAGCAATCAAGAGTCAGCACAAATTGCTTCTGAAATATTCAAACAAGCAGGCATCAGCGATCGAGTCCATAGTGTTGTCGGTTCAAGCCAAACTGTAATACCACAAATAAAAGATCAGCATCCCATCTCGTCGTTTGACTTCATTTTTATCGATCACTCGGGAGAGAATTATTTACGTGATTTCAAACTATTGGAATATCACAACTTAATAACATCCGGCACAATGATCGTCGCTGACAATATCCTCTATCCTGGTTCACCTGATTATGCAGACTATATTCGAAACAATCCAAACTATTCTAGCAAAATGTACGAAGCATCAGTAGAATGGCCAGTTGGAGTTAAAATCAAAGACGGAGTTGAGGTTTCAGTTAGAAACTAAAACAATAAACACATTGTATTATTAAAGTTCATTTTCTCTAGCATAAAGTATTGTTAACATTATTTTGTATCCAGATGAATAATAAACGTATTTTATTCGTCAATTCGGATCTAGCGTCATGAGAATCTCTGCAAGAAGCTCTCATACCAAACACTTTTATTACCCAAACTGTTTTCCAAATGATTTATCTTTGATGTAAGAGCTTAAATTCACAATGGAAATCAATTATTAAGCGATGGATAAAGCCGAGAGGCGGAAAAGAATTTTACATAACTATCAGGTCAGAGCCGTTTTAAGAAATTTGTGGGCCCTGTGCTGATCATTAACGTTTTCAACACATCAATTCGTATTTTTTTTAATAATAACAAAATGCAAGGCTTAAGCCGTTCGATTGCGCCCCTGAGTCAGCCGGGCCCCTGTACTATAGCACAATTAGCACATAGGATAAGAAGGCACTGCATCAGGTTGATTCATAATTAATTGCGGATTAAATTTCAGATAAAACCGGCTACTTTTATTCGTTGTTTTTGAGGTACCGTCAATAGTTCCAAGGGTTCTTTTTAAGCTCAGTCGATAGAGAATTGAATTCTCTACAAAACCTGTAATTTTAATCTCTGATAGCGTTTTTCTCGTTTGAGCACCATTTAATATTTCGAATGGCGCTGAGTTGTCGAACTGCGACGTGCTTTTGACGTCTTCTTTGAGATTTTTATCCCATTGTCTGAGGTTCAGTAGTTAATTTTTCTAGGTAGAAAGATTAAGATTAAGGATTTTGTGCTCTTTCAATCTCACTGATACACAACTTCATACAATGTTTTCGCTACGTCAGCTGAAGTCAAAATTAGTTCTCAACCGGCTTTTCAATTTTTTCAAATTAAATTAATTATTTTAATTAATCATTTGAACTGAGAAACTTTCTTTATATATCAAAAAATGCAGAATTTAATTCTGTGTAAGATGATAAGACCAAAACCCTGAATCCAAACGTTTTACTGCTTTTCTAGTCAAAAAACTAAAGCCTCTGAGAATAGGTTCAGAAGTTAGGCTGTTTTACATTTATCAGGATTTTGCATAGAGAAATTTTCCTAGAAAAGTGAGCTGCATAAATTTCGAAAATTATGTGAAAACATGCAGAAGTTTCTTGTGAATCTTCTGATGCTTTCAAAATTCTTATGGAATCTGTTTTTGGATCAATATTTTTCTATTTTCAGTGTGTCGCAGTTCGACAACTCAGCACCATTCGAAATATTAAATGGTGCTCAAACGAAAAAAACCCTATCAGAGATTAAAACTGCAGATTTTGTAGAGAATTCAATTCTCTATCGATTGAGCTTTTAAAACTACAAGGCGGTACCTTAAAAACAGTGAACAAAACTAGCCGGTTTTATCTGAAATTTAATCCGCAATTAATTGTCAGTCAACTTGATACTATCGCCCAGTGGAAAAAAATGAGCGTGATTCCGCCAGTTCCTGCGGGAAAATATTTTTTCGTTGGAAATTTCAATTTTTCTGCAGGAAATTTTCAGTTTTCGGCGGGAAAACGCTGATTCACGAGAAAATGTTCTGTCCGAACGTATGCAAACTTATTTTCTGTAGAAAAGTTTGTTTTTCTGTGGAAATTTTCATGCAGGTTTCTGTCGAATATTTTTTCAGCAGAAATTCTCTTTATTCCGCTTAATTTTTCATGTAGAATTCTGCCGAATATTTTTTCAGCAGAACATTGTGAAAAAAAAATGAGCGCAATTCGGCCAGTTCCTGCGGGAAAATATTTTTTCGTTGGGAATTTCAATTTTTCTGTACAAAAAGAAAAAGAAAGAAATTATCTGTACATAATACGTAAGAAAAGAAAAGAAAAAACAAACTGAGCATCTAGTGTATGATCACGTTCCATAAATGTGATCAATCTTATGTGACCAGGCATGCGCCGGTTATTTTGCTTATATAATCAGAAGAAGAAACATACGGCATAACCTCATCCATAGACGGACAAATAACAGATAACTGTCGATTAGTTAATACAGTGTTATTTCCGTGTGAGCGTAATTGGTTTAATGATCAGGACCATAAAAACCGTGCGGGATCGGAACCGAAATAATTTTACGGGACTGGGACCGGAACCGAAAGAAGTTTACGAGACCGGGACGGAGACGGGACCGGGACTGGAACCGGGACTGAAAATCATCGGTCCTGCCCATATCTAGTTTGTTCTCATTTCGAAGAAGCAAACTATGTCACTACTGATTTACATGTGAGTATAGACGAAAGAAGACATGGGCCAGTCCGAGTGCGGACTGAAAGATGTTTTGGCGGACTGGGACTGCAACTTGAGGACTCGAACTCGAGTTTTGTATTTCGAGTCCGATCTATTCAACTTTTAACACAAAGGAACAGTGAAAAATGAAAAGCGAAGTAACAACGCCTTCTGTTTTGCAAGAAAAATAAAAATTTTGTTTGAGGACGGACAGACAAAGTGACCGGGTTTTCGCAAAATCAAATATCTCTGTCCAGGGCTTAGTAAATTAAAGAGAAATAAACCACGCTCATCAAAAAAGAATCTAAAAGATTACCCTACTCGAAATGGACTCGATACTCGGTTCTTAACGTTAAGGACTCGGACTCGCCCATGTCTGGAAGAAAGTATCGTGAATAAGGTTTCAGCTCTGTTCTTTTTCATTTCTGACGTGTACACTCATTATTCGAATATTCTTTACTCGTATATAAATGAAGCATAGTTTGCTATAGAGAATAACGAATAATCTTGCGTTCCGTTCTTTTGAAACTTACATAACACGACCCATCTCTATTTTAGGTTGTGTAATTTTATACTAGGCCTGTAGCAACAAATGTAAATGTTACAACTTTGGTCAAAAGAGAGACATTTTACATTTGAAATGTTGCTTGTACCAGCTGCGCCAGAACAGAAAAGGATGATACATAAAGGATGCACGCGGTCTTTTTTTCTTTTTTTCTTTCTCTTCTGTCTATAAATGTATATCAAAATTGTTCTTCAGCGCACAGAATATATACAGAAGGGAAAGAAAAAAAAGGAAAAAGACCGTGTGCGCCCGTGATGTATCATCCTTTTCCGTTCTGGCGCAGCTGATACAAGAAACATCTTAAACGTAAAATGTCTCTTTTTTGACCAAAGTTTTAACATTAACATTTGTTGCTACAGGCCTACTAAGCAAGAATTGTCTAGACAGTGAAAAAGAGAAAATAATAAATAAGATATGATATAAAAGTATCAAGTTAAAGATGCTGGTCAGACTACAGATTTTTTTATTATCGACTGTATATGCTATAATAATGTTTGTGCATTTCACTGAGGAAGATTGAATTATCAATTGAAACGTTTAGAAATAAATAAAGTTAGTACGAATAAAAAGTATTCATTTATAATTATATCAAAATCTCATCTGACGTCGTAGTCTATTGATATTCACTTTAAAAAAATGTTTTTCGATTCTCTATTTCTGTCTAAAACCCTGACTGAATCTAAAGTTTTCAGTATATTTGTAATACTTTAGAGGGGAGCTAGTGTGCCCTTATGCTATGTTAAAAGATTTCTTCATAGTAGGTATGTACCGGTGTTGGTATACCGAATATACTGACTTTTCATTTGAAATGAGATATTTTAGCGTCCTGGATAGGAAAAACGCATTAATAAAAAAAAATAAAATCTTTCTTAATGAAACAAAATTGTAGCACGCAAATTTTTGATTAAAATGAGACATCTTCGAGCTCTACATGTCCTTTCTTTGCGAAGTGATAGGATTTATAAGAAAAGCCCTAAATTAAGTTCTTATTTCTGTAGCTTTCAGCTAACAATGGGCATTTAGGCTTTTTCTTGTAAATTCTATAGCTTTGCAAAGAAAGGTCTTCTAGGAGAAGACTTCTAGAGAAGTCTCACTTGAATTGGAAATTTGCGCGCTACAGTTATGCTTCATTAAGAAAGGTTTTGGTTAGTTTTTTACAGGTTCTGAAAAGCTGGTTTTCCAGCAAACCGGGTGGTCAAGAGTCATGGGAAAAAATCCTTTTAGGCTTTTTACTAGCTCGATACCCTCTAGCGATCGACGTATGAACGAACGAAAGGTATCACTTGGATAGGTTTCGTCTTCAGCTGTGTATGTATTTGGAGCATATGCAGATAGAAGAACAAGAAAATTTTTGACCTTGTTTGCCTCTTGAAAGCTCTTGTTTTGCGTCTCTGATTCTTTTTGGGTGTCCACGACGCTAAAATATTCCATTTCAAATGAAAAAGTCAAAAAAAGTCAGTATTTTAGGTATCGGCCCTAGTGAATGTACTTGGTACAAGTAGTTGATTACTTGATTAGTACTTGGAAAATACGCGATAAATTAAACATTTGGCAAGTAGAAATTTACAAGTGGCTGATACGAAATAGATAGATTATTTAAATTACAGTTCGATAATTTAATTTCGTATTTTTATTTAAAGATATTTAAAACTATTTAAAAAATTTTTTAAAATATATGTGTGAAATAATGTTAAATAAAAATACGAAATTAAAATATCGATCTGTAACTTAAATAATTTGACAAGTACTCGAGCGAGAACATGCCAGGTGTCGTTACTTGACTTGTTTCAGCTAAGTTACTTGGACAAGTCACTCACCCTTTTCTTTTGCATTAATCAGTTATATATAAACACAATATCAATCGGTATAAACTTAGAAAGTAAGTTTAAATATTTCTACTGAGTTGAACAACTTAGTAGCATTCTGCAAAAGTAGAGCACAGTGGGCATTCAGGCGGACATTAGGCGGAAAAGTGACTTTGTTTCTTTTCGAAAACAAAATAGTGCAAAATATAGCCCTTGAAATTCTCTATCGAATGGTGTATAAATGTCTATTGTGATTTTCACTCCTTCATGGA